CTCTTCTAAGACCACAAGGGTAAGTTCCTCGATTAGTTCTCCTCTTTCTGTAGTGGAGTCATCCCTTAGGTCAAAGACCTCAACCTACAATGCTTCTTGGGGCTTCCTAGCCTTCATAGAGGGTACATAACACTCTCTGGCTGTTACCTGGTCTCCTCTGACCTCTCCGACTCTATTTGAGGTTGGAAAATAGATAACGAGATAGTAGGTGGAGGGCACAACTCTCAATGTGTTAAGAGCTGACCGCCCTAATATGATGTTGTAGGCTGACGGACACTCTATTAACAGGAAATTGACCATAAGTGTGGAGCTTCGGGGTGCTACTCCGACGGTGACAGGAAGTGTGATAAACCCAAGGGGATACACCTTTTCTCCTGAGAATCCAATGAGAGGTGACTTGATAGGCTGTAGCCTCTCCCTGCCCAGGTTAAGCTTGTCATAAGTCTCTGTGAATAGGATATCTGCAGAGCTGCCACTATCCACCAGGATTCTGTGCACATGAAAATTAGTCATTGTCATGGTGAGCACCAAGGGGTCGTCATGGGGGTGCTGGATTCCCTCCAGGTCCTTATCTAAGAAAGATATGACCTCGTCGTCGTCCTGTTTCAGCACTTTAGATGGGCGCATCTTGTTGACATGTCTTGCCTTCCTGGTGTGGGCCTTTATTACAGAAAGTGATTTTCCCCCTCCTGCTAGTCCTCCTGATATGGTGTGAATCTCCCCCACGGGCTACTGACCTTCCTAATTGTGAGGTTGTGGTGCTCGTTCCCTTCCAGCAACATACTGGCGTAGGTGACCACGCTGGATGAGCTCCTCAATTTGCCTTTTGAGGTCATAGCAATCATCTGTGTCATGCCCGTGGTCACGATGGAAGCGGCAATACTTGTTAGGGTTTCTGCGATTTTGAGGAGACTTCATTTTCTCAGGCCACTTTATCGCGGGGTCATCCTGGATCTGGAATAGGATGTGCCCCACGACAGCATTGAGGGGAGTGAAGGGTTGACGGTCCCTCTGAGGAGTAGGACCTAGCCGGTCCTTGAGAGGGACTTTCTCTGTTCTGCCATGCTTGTTGCTAGTCTCCTTCTTATCGTCCCTCTCCCTTTCCTTCCTTTTTTTCCCTGCTCTGGAGGACTCACCTCGCCTGGCCCTTGTGATGTCTTCCGCATTCATGTACTTTTGGGCCTTGGCTAGCAGCTCTAGCATGCTCTTCGGTGGGCGCTTCAAAACTGAGAAAAAGAAGCTTGATGAACGGAGGCCACCCAAGAAGGCGGTCATCGTCACCTTGTCGTCGGGTTCGTCAACTTGGAGTACCTCCTCGTTAAAACGAGTGAGGTAACTCCTCAGGCTCTTCTCGCGGTCCTGCTTTATACTAAGCATGTGCGTAACGGGCTTCTGGTGACGACGCCCTCCAATGAAATGTGAGACGAATGATCTGCTAAGCTCAGCGAATGAGGCAATGAAGGCGGGAGAGAGCTTAGCAAACCACTGTCGGGTAGACCCCTTTAACGTGGTTGGGAATGCCCTGCACATGATTTTTTCTGGTACGTTGTGCAGTTGCATCAAAGTCTTGTAAGTGTCGAGGTGGTCCAGTGGATCCTTAGTTCCATCAAAGGTCTCCACAGATGACATTTTGAACTTCTGAGGGAGGGGGTAGTTTGCTACATCAGGCTTGAAAGGAGTATTCCGTACGCCTTACCAGGTGGTTTATAGTTTCGGGTCCCTGTGCCTTCATGGCATTGAAGACATCACCCAGTTGATTTTGTACTTCATTGATTTTCTCGTCCCAATGATTGGGGACTCCTCTGGAATGATCATAGAAATGACATCCATGCTCGATGCTTTGGTTTTCGCCCTCATCCTTTTTGAGATAAGAGTCTTCTCCATGGGAAGCAAGAGGAGGGGGAGGTGGAACTCCCTCATGTTGGGCTCCCCCAAGTGGGTCGCCTAGGCGTGGAGCAGCAGGGCGTGGAGCTCTTTGAGGTCCTCCATGTTGTGCACCTTTGAATTGCGCTCCTCCTTGGGGTCCTCCAAGTTGTGCACCTCCGAGTTGTGCTCCTCCTTGGGGTCCTCCATGTTGTACACCTCCGAGTTGTGCTCCTCTTTGTCCAGCAAGCATGAGTTGCACTAACTGTTGGTTTTGGGCCACCAGCTGCTGCATGGTCTCCAACATTTGCTGGGAATTCGGAGCTGGAGTATTTGGGACAGAGTTGGTAGGCAGAGGAGTAACCTCCTCATCTCGTGGAGGATTGTCTTCAGGTTGGTTCATGGATCGGGTAGTGATCGCCATTAGTTCAGTGGATGTAATGTTCAAGAGTGATAATTTTGTCGTTTCCCACAGACGGCGTCAAACTGATGATGCACAAAAATGGTTTTGAACACCACCTGTCAAGTGTAAATAATAAATACAGTAAAAGTAAAGAGAGAATTGGAGAAGAGAAGATTTATAGTGGTTCGGTCAACTCGACCTACGTCCACTCTTGAATGACTTTCGTTGTCGAGTACTTTATTAATTTAAGGGTATAGAGATAGAGAATACAAGCTTCGAGGGAGAATAGAGAATCAAGGAAGGTGTGGTGCCAGGCAATCAGTGTCCTTTCAAGTGTTGATGGGGCGTGCAATTTATAGTGGCTCCCTAACAGGTTGGAGCTACTTTCCAGCGACTAAGCAACTATTTCGGTGAAGCTCCTGATCTCTTCTCAACGAGCGAGATGGTTGAGGAGCTCTCCGTTAGATGCGGTCAAAGATGGACCGTTTCCTTCGATGGTGCAGATAAAGCTTCCCATGCTCTCCCCCTTGATGACTTGACTAAGCAAAAAGTCTAACTGGTCTTAGACTATATTGGCCTTGGTGGATTTTTCATGAAGTTAGGCTCCTCAATTGGGGTTGGACTTCTCACATAAATTGGGCTATTTGGGCTTGACCCATCAGCTAGGAATAAAAATTGGCTTAAGAAAAAAAATTTAGAGCTTAGAAAAGAGTAAAGTCACAAATGAATATTTTTCTTGATTTTTGACCTGTACATTAAACAGTTACTTTTGACAGTACAGACCACTCACATACACATTTACCATTAAAAAAATTGACAGTTGTTATCTATTAGAATAATATGAAATAAAATTGATACTTTAAAATGTAATGTAAGAAATTTTATAATTGAAGTTACAAAGTAAAATAAAGGCAATAGTTCAAAGATAAAGTATAATTTATCCCTAAGTACCACAGTTCGCTCCTTTTAATTCGAGATTGTATGGGCCTTAACGGCCGGCCTTAGTGGGCTTAAATGTTTGGTGCAATGAGTATCTGGGCTGAGATCAGGCTGTCAAAAGTAGTTGACCATTTTTGGTTTAATTGTTGTGGGTTTTTAATCGGAACTTTTGGGGAGAAATTAGAAAATTGTCCACTTTACATAACTTATTTGTCTTAAAGTCTATAATTTTGATTTTTTAGTCATTAAGTCATTACTTTTCTAAATATTTGGTGATTATGTACATATTTTAATATTGCATATTTTTGTATTACATAATTGCCCTTAACTTAATTCATACAATTTAGGTATGACAATTTTCATATATTTTTTTTATCATGTTTTATTAAATCATAGATTTTCTAAATTAAGGGATTAATTAACCATATTTGTTGTCACACTATTTTTTTGAAGTTGTATGAAGTGAGTATCAATTTTAAGTTTTTGGGTTTATACGTAAATTCACTATTTATTGTCACACTATTTTTTGGCAATGAATTCATACAATGAAAACCCAAATTCATGAGTTTTTTTAATGTTTTAGAGATTTGGGGGTTAATAAGTAAGGTAAGGGCTATCCCTAATTGTAGCTATCCTCCCTGATAAATTAGTAATTTGACCTTCATGTCATCGCCTCAGCTAAGATTATATGCTTATAAATTATAAACTCCTTTACACATGGGTTTAGGTTGATCTCATACACCTTAAGTGTACTCTTACTTTCTTTCTCCTATTACCTTGTACTCTCTTAGTAATAGAGTTTTCTGACCACCGTTGCTGCCTTCAATTGTTAGGTCATCCAAATCTAACTACCTAATTTTTGTCTCTTATTATTGATTGTTTCATTAATTATTTTACACCACACATTCGACTGATTTAATTTTACATAATCAACTTTGTATATCATCGTGGTACAAAAAAATTTATTGTTCTATATTTTTTTTAGATGAAAAAGTAGAATTAATATATTTTTATTGGATAAAAAAGTAGAATACAAAAATTAAATTTTTTGGTACCATAATTGAACACCTAATTTATAGTTGAGTCTGTATATTTTATATTTATGTTGCAACCATGCATATAAAACACTTAAAAAAAGTGCATGCTTACCAAAAACAAATATTTAGACGAAGCACCTTCCAAAAAATTATATATTTAAGACATCGCACTTTGAAATTTTTTTTTCCCCGAAAATTGAAATATATATATTGACAAACTAGGGGCAATTTTGTCATTTCAAATGACTACTATAACTCCGTAATGTGGCAGTAGCCTCTCGAAACTCTGTTTGGTTCCTTGTAAAATTAAGTATAAGTTGTGAATTTTTTTGAGTGTTTTGTTTTACATAGTTCTGTTGCTGATAAATTCAACAACATCCGCTCAAACAAATCAATTAGCATGATCCAAATCCTAATCCTTTTTAACTTATTAAATTCAACAACATTCTTTGTTTTGTGCGTTTTCTTATTAAATCTTCTTTTTATAGAGTGATTATTATTAAATTGTTCCTAGCCAACGTGGTCATCGACTTCAATTTTCAGTTATTGTTTTTGTTTGTCTAGTTGTTTCTATGCATTGAATTTAATGAGACGAAAGTCGGCTCTATGCTTATGAGGGAAATACATCAATCAGTGGTTGGCTTCATCGCCACTGTTCTCGTTGTTGGACCTTAAACTGGTGGGTTTGATCATCGTCATCTCCCTCCCCAAAATAGTGCTGACCCAAAACAAAAATAAAAAAAGGCATTAAGGAGAACATGCCAATATTTGAGGTGGATAAATTTTGTGGTTCTAATTAATTCTGAATGCTTCAAATTCCACTTGAAGATGCAAAGATTGGCCTTTTAGGTTGCCTACTACAGTAGATTGTACTGGATAAACCATGCGAGTGACTTAATCTTGCAAGCTTTGTAATTGGTATAGGAGACGTGCTGACATTTATGTGTAGCCTCTGATTTTGTTTTAGACACTGATGGATCGTGATTCCAAGTCTGGGAATAGGAGACCTTGATCAAAATAAAGCTGATGCTCTGAAAGTAGAAGATTCAAAATCTTCCCTTAAGTGCATTATTAATTTTTTTTTAATGTTTGTTGGAGGGAGTATGAGAAAATTAATGTTTGAGGAAGTGTGGGGAAGCTTTGTTGATTTTGAGACCCCAGATATCTTCTCGAACTAGATTCAATATTGAAGTTTATTTGCTATTACACATGGTTAGGCGGTGAAAGAAGAGAATGTATACCTGGGAGCCCACGGAGCTCCTCCTTTAGAATCAAAACAACAAGAGATGAAGTCTTCAAGCCATAAGCAAAGGTTCAAGCAGAAACTGAAGGAAGCAGATCAGAGATATAGTGGGATTGGATGAGAGAAAAAGGTGGATAACTTGAGGGAGCTTGTGGGTGTTGGGAAAATTCCCATCAATATGTCAAAGAGTTCCCCAGGGATTGGCTAGACCCACATTGCCACAAGTCTCAATTTGAGAGGCGGCATCCTTAATAGGTGTGTGATTTCGGCCCAATCTTGGAAGGTGATACTCTCTCTCTCTCTCTCTCTCTCTCTCAACATATGCCTTTCCTAATCTACAATCAGCATGAAGTTGTGGGCTACACCTTTACTTGCCTGAGTTTAATTGTTTTGGAATACAATTACTCCAATACGGAATACCTTTTGGCTAGATTCACCAACCAGGCCATTCTAGATCTGATCTTCCTTCAATTTGCAAAACATAATTCAGAGCTAAAGGACGCCCATGTGGGAGCAAAAACAAAAAGGACAGGATTGTGTGGACAAGTGTAAAAGAACTCTCAAGTTTCTAGTGAAAATGAGCCGATCACCCATTAACCTGTTCAAAAGAATTGGCTAAAGGGCAAGCTGGAGCCATTCCACCAGACATCAACAGATTATATTCAGATTGGATTTTAATCTTCTATATTTATAAATTTTATTTCAAAATACCCAAAGAATTTTATTTCATAGTCTATATATAAACCCATTAAAAATATAAAAGGTAAATTTCATTCACAGTAGATAGGTCTAACTTCAATGATACTCTCTATCTTTTTCGAAAGGGATATTGGGTTAGGATTTTATGGAGAAATCTTCACCAGATTTGTCAGAAATTTTTTGAAGAACTGATAAAGCCAAGAAATTGCTAGGGATTCGGCGCAAATTTAGGCGCAGGCATAAGGTGTTAGATAAAATTCTGCCATAGGAAAAATTCCATCAATGCCTCATCTGCTCTCTCTCTCTCTCTCCCATTGGAAGTCTCCATCCCCCGTACGAAAGCTCATTGGGAGGTTCAGTTTCATGAACATCACCAAGTATTTCTTGATTTTTGTTTCTTTATATATGTTCCTTTTTATTGTTGTGTAATAGGAAAGAAGAAAGAGTCACTCCATTTGGAATTCCAATAATCTAAAGCTTAAATTTAATATTTGTTTCTCAATCCACTTCAGCTGGCATCGGCCCCTCTCGCTACATCTCTTGCGGGATTTGTTTCTTAGGTGCCTCCTCTATTAGCTTTCATTGGGCTCATTGATTTCATTGCACCTAATAATGCAGTTACTCATATTATACCTGGTTTTCTACTTGCTACATGTGTAGCTTTTTCTCTTTTGTATATTGAGATGTTGTAAAACTGAGTTTTTAGCTTGGAAGGGTGCTAACTTATTTTCATTCTATCCCAGCTGGCTCTCCTTTTCTCATAACTGATGCCAGTTGAATAGTCACATAATTTTCTCAATATCTTCACACTGCAGGTTACACATCTAGAGCACAAAAAAAGTTTTCATGAGATCACAAATGAACTTTGCCATGTGAGTAATTTTCCTTTTTAATCATCCATTTCTGTTTACATTCTGCCTTTTTTTCTTTAAACAACAACTTTCTTCTTTGTCATGTTCAGATTGCTACCTGATGCTTCGTTAGGTGCTCAACATACAAGAATTATACATGACGATGTACTGGGGTGAAAAATATGGCACCAGTAATGCGTATTCAGATGTAAGCTAGTTTAAATGGCACCGAATAATGCTCGCCTTTGACTAACTTTCATGCCAACTGATTATATGGTAGTCTACCTTTAAGTGAACCTCAATTTTTTGTCATCGAGTGATATTTTATGTCCTTTCTTTGAGTTTTCGCACAAAACTTGAGTTTTTGTTATTGAGTTATATTATACCCCAAGGTTTTGTCTTTCTCCAATTTTTTTGTGAATTTTGAACTCCTTTGAGTATCTGTGATTGAGTTTTCTCTCAATATATTCTATCACAATACCTTCTCCATTCAACTAAAGCACGATATATATCCCTGATGTGTTTTCTTTTCTTAGGTAAATGCCTGGTATGTTTCTCTTTACTAGCAACAACATTTTTAAGTGAGAATCATAACATATCTAAAGGTATTTGGACCATCTTTTGTGGGAACTATGAGTGTTCAAAGGAAGCCAGAAATAATTGCAATTTTATGTTTTCGGCAATTGTTGACTCTATGCATCAACAGTTAGATTGAGGTAGGTTTTTGTTACATTCATTGAATGTCCAAAATATATGGGAGTTTGAAATTGATCCATGTTATACATTTAAAATGATATAATTCTTAGAATTGATCAATGAGAATAGAGAAGAGAAAGGAAGAATAGATTATTCATTTTTGGAAGTTTGTAATACACAGCTTAACCTAGAAATACATAAAATAACCCTTATATAGTAGGGCAACACAATATAAAGAAAATGCTTAAACTATCCTTATTATGAATACTCTAACACCCCCTCTCAAACTCATGATATGGTAGAAAACATCAAGAGTTTACCAAGAAGGAATCTAAAACATGCTATGGTATGAGACTTCGTAAAAAAATTCGCTATCTGTATCGTGGAAGGAAGAAAAGGGAGAGTGATGGTGCCCTGCTGCAGATGATGACGCACAAAGTGACAATCAATCTCAATGTGTTTTGTGCACTCATGGAAGACTGAGTTATGAGCAATCTGAATAGCACTGGTGTTGTCGCAGAACATAAGAGTAGGGGATGATACCGAAATGCCAAGATCAACAAGGAGCCATCGTAACCAGACTATCTCAGTTGTAGTAGATGTCATAGCACGATACTCAGCTTTAGTAGAAGAACGAGCAACAACAGTTTGTTTCTTGCTTTTCCAGGAAATAAGAGAATTCCCGAGAAACAGGCAGAAACCAGTGGTGAACTTGCGATCCATAGAGTTACCAGCTCAGTTAGCATTAGAGTAAGCCCTGAGTTCCATAAATGAAGAGTGAGGAAAGAGTAAACTCTGATATAGAGTACCACGGAGATACCAAAGAATGTGAAGAACAGCAGCCCAGTGAACGGTGGTGGATAAGACAACAAATTGACTCACATGTGAACAACATAAGAGATATCCGAACGAGTGACTGTAAGATATACTAAACTCCCAACAACAGTTCGATAGAGGGTTGGGTCAGATAAGAGAGTATCATCAGACGAAGAGTAACGAACATTGAGCTCTAAAGGTGTCTCAACTGTTCGATTATCTGATAAACGAGCTCGTTCAATAACATCTGAAGCACACTTGGATTGAGAGAGAAGATATCATTTAGGATAGGAAGCAATCTCAATACCCAAGAAATATCTAAGCTGACCCAAATCTTTCATCTCAAAATGATCCTGCAACTAGGTTTTCAATAAGCAGATGTCAACAGTGTCATCACCCGTAATAATCATATCATCAACATCTAGTAAAAGAATAATAGAACCTGAGGAAGTAGACCGTAAAAAGAGAGCAGAATCATGGTCACTGACGAAATTCCAAGTCACAGATAATCGAAGAAAATTTGGCAAACCATGCTCTGGGAGCCTGTTTAAGATCATATAAGGCACGATGAAGGTGAAATACTTGACCAAAACTATAAGATAATCCAGGGGGAGGTGTCATAAAAACTTCTTCAGTCAAGTCTCCATGTAGAAATGCATTTTTCACATCCATTTGAGACAAACTCCATTGTCGAATGACAACAATTGCAATCACGGTGCGAATAGTAGTCATCTTGGCAACAGGAGTAAAAGTCTAGACCATATTCCTGAGCAAACCCCTTGGCTACTAATCGAGCTTTATATCGTTCTACTGAACCATTTGACTTGGTTTTTATCTTATAAACCCACTTACAACCAATGGTGCGTTTACCAGACGGTAAGGACACTAGCTCCCAGGCTCTAGTCCTATGTAAGGCAGACAACTCCTCATCCATAGCCTGTTTTCAAAGTGGATCAAGTAATGTTTCCTTGTAGGAGGAGAGTTCAGATAGAGAATGAATAAAAGTAAGGAAAGAATAAAAGTCAGAAGAATAACAAGTATTACTCTAACCAAACCTGTCTAGACATTTGCGAGAGCGCTGAGGATAGCGTGGGGTATGATCCACAGTGTCTATACCTGATTGGGTGGCCGAAGAAGAAAGGGGAGGCACTGTATCTGAAGAGGAGATAACTGGAGTCCTGCGAATATATGTATGCACAATAGGGGACGAGTAATAGTTGACTCAGAAGATGAAGGATCTGACACACGTATATCACCAACATATGTATCATGAGGAACATTGGTAGGAAATGGATCAATGTATAGCAGGTCAGACTTATTCAATGAGAAAGAGCTAGATGAAATTGAGAAGAAGGGAATATGCTCCTTAAAAACAACATGACGAGAGACATAAAGTTTGCAGGTGATGGGATCATAGCAACGATACCCTTTTTGACCCTCACCATAGCCAAGAAATACACATAAAGCTGAACGGGCAGAAAATTTGGTACGAAGAACACTAGGGAGTAAAACAAAACAAGTACAACCAAACACACGTAAAGAAAAATAGTTAGGTGGCTTACCACATAACTTTTCAAATGGAGAGACTCCAGAGGTGAGCATAGTAGGAATGGTGTTGATCAAATGAACTGCAGTCAAAACTGCTTCCCCCCAAAATGAGCTGGGAACATGTGTTGATAAAAGAAGGGAACGTGCTGTCTCTAGAATATGACGGTGTTTTCGTTTGACAACACCATTCTGCTCAGGTGTGTCAGTGCAAGAAGATTGATAAAGTGTACCATCAGATTTTAACAGATCATGAAAAGAAGTAAGAGTATATTCACCGCCCTGATCACATCGAAAATATTTAATGATTGCGGAATATTGAGTGCGTACCATGTTACAAAAGGTAGTGAAGATATAAAAGAATTCAGACTGACGTTTCATCAAGAATACCCAACAGTATCGTGTGTAATCATTAATAAATAAAACATAATATTTGGACCCTCCTTGTGTAGGAATACGAGCCAGTCCCCATATATCAGAGTGAACAAGATCAAATGGTGCAAGAGAAAAAGTA